GATTTTACAGACCTGAGTGCAATAGACTTCAGATGCCACGGATAAAATTCCCATTATATACCTATGTTACTTTTATATATCATTTGCTTAATAAGGTTGCACAAATGATGTGCTATAATGCAAAATATGTGCAATTTATATCTTTGCATAATATCACCACAGATTATATACTCTGATTTAATGGACAATTAGAAATAACAGACATCCCTTCTCCCCAATTGGACTGTTAAATCAAAGTTTCACTATTTTTAACATCCATTTTTCCCCTACAGAAAGATTTTATAGCAATATTTAAATAATATTGCAGTAGCTTTCCTTTTCCACAAAGATATGCCATTCTGGACTCTTTCAAATTGGTTTTAAAATCTTTACTGCATATTATACATATTATAACTTGAATTTATTATTATTTGAAAATTGCAACAGAAGATAACACAATAAACGTTATAAAATCATTTATCCACAGTATTTTATTTTGAGCTGTCTGAACACAGGTTTAATCACTAACCATTTCTTGATTTAAAGTAATATGTATTAAAAAGAAGTCATATGTGCCATTGTATGAAATTAATATAGTATTCTGTAAAATATATTTAATTTTAAAAAATTTAAAGACATATTGAAAAGATTTCTTAAACCACATATTTTTGCTTGTTTGGAATACAGTGGCCTAATTATTTAAATACAAAAGGTATATGGGATGTTGCATGTAAGCCTGAAGTTGTCATACTGTATATTCAATTGATATAATTGTGCAATATGTTTTTCCACAAATATCACTCCCAATTTACAGACTATGAAGTAATACAAAAAAGATTGTTACTCCAGCTATCAGAAATGTATACCATAATTGTAGATCTTGCACATGCTATATCAGTGTATGGTTTTTATTTATTTATTTATTTATTTATTTGATTTGTATCCCGCCCTTCTCCTCACCGGACTCAGGGCGGCTGACAGCCTTATCAAACAACATTACAACAAATATCAATATTAAAACCAGATTATTATAGAGCTACTACATCTGGACCGTAAAAAATCGTTAAGGTCATGGAAACAATAAGTTTTCTGAATCTATCATCGGAGGTTGTCTGGATCTTTACAGCTCCAACCTGATAGCCCTACTTGTTCCAATGTTTATGCATTAACATTTCATTGGCTGAAGCTTCAGTCAAAGATCACAGTTATCAAACACATAAAGAATTATTTTGGGGCATTTCTGAGGCAGGATTTAAGGTAACTGCATCAGATGGAGATGGTGGTGTGGCTAAAATATTAAGTACACTAAAGCAATGCCACAATTAGAAAACAAACCCAGTATATGTGCTAAGATTTGCCAGGGCCTATGTTATCTAGTCTACATGCATTCCTGTTTACTACATTTTCAACCTTGTTTATAAAGCAAACAAGCGGTTATACTGCATCTTGCTGTGTTTCTGCAACATTAAGAGTTTTGTAAGCTGCAGAACTCTTGCAGAGGAAATTTCATTAAGATTATAAATAACCACAATTTGCTACGTGTTCCAAAAAGAAAAAAGTTAATGCATTGGAATTAGAAAAATAAAAGTGAATTTTCCTTACTTGCCTCTCTCCCCACTGCCCACCTGTCTTCTGCTTGCTTCTACCTGGTTTCCCTTCCTTTTTATTCCTGCCTCATAACACACCAAGGACCCTGAAACTCAGAAGCTTCAGGGAAGCTGATGGTTAGAGACACAGAAGTATACAATAAACTGTTAGCAATCCCATTTTTTTATATAATTATGAAGTGATCTTTCTAATGAAATCATGATTCACTTTTATTGTAATGTTTTCATAATAAAATGGATTACAATGTGTTGGGATATTATTACTCAGCAAAAAAAAATGTTTAAATCTGGAAAAGTGACACCTATGGTTGACTTGAGTAATCAAATGTATGAGATTAAATTCTGAAAAGATAGCTTACAGATAATGCATATGTCCCATAGGCATCACTCTATATTATTTTCCCTTATACAATACTGGATGCCTGTATAAAATAATGTTTGCTTATGTGAAAGCTTACTCTCTTCTATTGGAACTTAAATTTTTTATTTAAATTTGCTGAACAATCAACGAATATACTTGAGTGATTTTTAATAAAAGTTGCTTGAAGAGAAGTATGCAGAATAAAGTTTTTGGGGATTAATACCTTTTCTTTTTTTAAAAAAATGTCCTGTATAATCTGAAGCTATCATTTCTGCTATTGTCTTGTAAAAGCTATCTGATAGATTTTCTCTGATGCCAATTCAAAGAAGAAAACATGAGAATATTGTCCCAGATTTTAATTTTTAAAATGTGCTATAAAACGGCTGAACTATTCTAAACTTTAATATTCAACAATCATTTTGAGATTGCAAAAGCAAAATAGAAAGGCAATGAGAATGAAAAAATGTAAAAAATATTTTCATATCAGGCCAACATTTATTTTCCTTTAACTGCTATTCTCAACTAATTTCCAAAGTGCCTTTTCAGAATGCAGAACTTTAAAACACTGAAGAGCTGGTTATGAATTTTTAATTAAGAGAGCCTTGTTGCAAATGATGTGCATGTTTAGACAGAAGTATTTGTACACTTGATCTTAGTTACAGTAATTACAAATAGTCCTTGACTAATGACCATTCATTTGGTGACTGTTCAAAGTTATGGCAGCACTGAACAAGGAGACTTGTATCTCACAATTGTGGCCATGGCAGTATTCATGAGGTCAGAATTGTGATTTAGGCACTTGACACCCAGCTTGCAATTACTATGGTTGCAGAGTCCCATGGTCATGTAATTGCCATTAGTGACCTTCACTGCCAGCTTCTAACAAGCAGTCAACAGAGAAGCCGACAGGAGGTAGTAGATGGCGACCCCGTGACATTGTACTTAACTGCAGGATTTGCTTATTGATGGTAACTGGAACTGCTGCAACTGCTGTGGTAAAATGGTGTGGTCATGTGACATTGCACTTTATGTCTACATCACTTAGTGACAGAGTTGCCAATCCCAATTATCATAGTTAAACAAGGACTACCCTTGTTTAGTCCTGTATCTTTAATGAGTACTCTAACTTGAAATGTTTGATTCTAGTCCAATCTTAGTAATTAATTTCTACAACATAGAAATGTTACAGTACCAAAGAAATAAATTGCATAAATATTTCTTGTGCTCCAACTGGAATTTTATACTAAAACTTCAAGCAAAATTATACTAGAGTTAACTCCAGCACAGCCCCACCAGCCCTGCTTAAGGATTGATGATGAGTGAGGATTTCTCAGGCATCTGTCCGTAAGCAGTATCAGCCCACAATTTGGCTTATATTTTTTATTTTACATCTGAAACTAGGAAAGTTAATTTGCCAGATTTCCAGAATAGGTGACGTTTCTTGGACGCCATTCAGGGACAACATGCTTATTGCCATACTTTATAATCAGACTTATCAGTCTGCATAATTCCTTAGTAAATTTCAGTATTCAATATTTTAAATGTGAACAGTTCAGCCTCCTTTTCATGCTTTTTATCGTGGGAGCAACAGATGTTTCTGAACAAGAGGTATTATGATAGCAATTCTGCAAAAGCAATTTGGCTTCAATTAAGCCCTCATGAACCACTGTTAGTGCTCAATGAATTAATACAAGTTGTAAAATGTGCATGTACAGAGTTAATTCACAAATGCCTCCTTGGAATACTTATAGCAATGATTTAAAAAAGTGGCTATTCACAAAAATCCTGAGTTAAACAGTACAGTACATTCCTTTTCACTGGAGATTCAAATTTTAATTTTAGAAGATATGCTAGAAATAAGTTACTATTCAGAATCTGATGTGTTATTTCATCCTGGCAACTTAAACTACAATGTATTATTTCTGTCTATCAAAAGATACATTAAATATCAGTGTTAATAAGACTTATCTAAAAATTGAGGATCTGGACATTAGGCATTAGTTTTTCCATCATTTTTCTTCTACAGCCATCACTGCAGTACATTACGTTCTCACAACATTTTTACATATTTTACTAATGCAAAAGGCTCATTTTTGAAAAATCAATCAATACACTTATAGATGCAACTAAAAAAGTCCCAAAAGCACTCAGTAACACATGGTCAGAATTTAGGCACATGGTATCTGTTGTTAGATGAGCATGATGGCCATTTGTATTTGAAATGGACTTAAAGGCAACTGATAGTACTTGGAAAGGACCAGTGGTGACCTTGGTTACAACCAATAGCAGAGGATGGCTATACTTACTTTTGAAGACAAATCTTGAATTCAGTATTAGATATACAAAAGTCTAAACTTTTCCCATAGCTATACATATCTACCTAGATTAATTAATCAAATAATGGAACTATTTATCTGTAATGAAAAAGTAATTTAGCTTATGTTCTCAAAGCTACCCTCATAAATTGTTATAGTTCCATGCCTCAGGTATGTATTGAGCAATATCTTTAAATATTGCTTAAAGAAAATTTTATTAACTAGTTTCAACTGGAATCCTTGCTTCTTTATTAAGATACATTATTTCCATGTGCCACTTGCATACAACCCAGAATACTATGGTTGTTTTTTTTTAATATTCATAACCTTTCTGAAAAGATACAATGGAGTAACTTAATAGTGTAGTGCTTGCCATTTTGACACTGGAACCTAATTGTGTTGTCTTACAATATATGTACTGAAAACAACCTGACATTTCAAGTTATTCTTTAAAAAAATCCTTCATAATCATTCATCTTGGTGAAGACAAAATGGAAATAATTGTTTGCAGCATAATTGGAAAGCCAACAGGTTTGCTTTGTGGCATTCCTTCATATCCATGTGTCAGAATTCTCACTACTTCACATTTTTTAATACTGTCTAGAATTCAGTGCCTTTCAACTTTCTATGATGTTGGACTATCAGAACACTTACTGTACATGTCTTCATTCCTCCTATAAGAGTCCAAGTAGCTACTTCAAATCCATTAGTTTTGAGATAATAAAAAAAAATTGGGAGAACAGTGTGTTATAGGAGACAAATCAGGCTTTTTCCCTCTTCAATTTCCTCCTGGACTTTGTCGCTGGAGGTGGCGATTTCGGCTTGGGCAGAGAAGACTGCGCAGATGAATGTCAGGACTGTGCCACCAATAGCAGTGTAGAAAGCCCAGCCTAAAGAACAGTCACCAAGTTTATAAGCTGAAGCATAAGGTCCACAATAGCTTATTGCCTTCTGACAACCCCAACCAGCAGGATATAAGATCAAGCCTAGAATAAGGAATAGTCCTATTTAAAAGAAAGAAAGAAAGAATAGTTAGACAAAAGTGCAATAAACTTAGGCACAAAACTAATTTTCATAGGAAGGAATTTGCATTCTGATACAAGCTGAAATTTCTGATGGCTGCTGCTGAATGGTATGGTATATATTTTTGTCTACACTGTAAGTGCTGAATGTTACTACAATGAAGGCTGAATTCAGAACTTAGAATTTAGGAAAGAAAGCTCACTCAGATATAGAAAGCTCATAGTCAGTTTTGAGTACCTGTATTTTTGTTTAGACATCTAGTGGTCATCTGGATTTTTGCTGCCTGAGAGAAATGGTCTGTTGATCCCCTCTTCATTTTTTCTATGTGAACTTAATAGTGCTATGCATGCATCAAGGATGATTCACCAACAGTTGGGACCTCATGCATGTGCAGGCCCTGCCTGCTATGTGTTAAAGCAACCCAACTTTTTTTCAGTCCTGTGTGACCCAGGAAAAAAGATGCTGCTGCTTTAAGGATCTTTAATGAGTGGACTCCTTAACAAAGTGGCATTTCTTAATCTGTGATCTGAAGCAATTCTTCCAGGCCATTCTCAAAGTATCCACAATTGTACCAAGTAATCCAAAATCCAGTGTGGATTTTAATACTGTGCCTAACTACAATATTAAACGTACAATTGCTTTCTAAAAGTCTGACATTTTCATCAAGTTCAAATCTACCAAGAACATCAACCAAGAACCAATTTCTCATTTAAAACAAAAGTTCATATGCTCTTCCAATTATTGGGATATAGTACCACCACCTAAGAGAATAAGGCAAAACATTTTAAACCCATGGATTACATGTAACCTCTTGTGTTATTGCTTACTGGAATCCATATATGACTCTTATCTTGACTGTAGGACTTTCTCTATGGAATTTGGGAGTTGGATAGCATTTCCTGTCAGAATGTCTGAGCCAGTGGACATATAAAATATTGCTTAAGGTCAGGCAGACAGGGATAAATTGAGCTTTCATCCTACTGAGCCCACCAACTCTGGCAGACTAAACACCCCAAATCCCCTTCTTGATATCATCACAAGTTATTTTGTCAACGAGACCTGAGGCATAATTCTTTTATTGGAGGTTCTACTGTTTCTACAGCGACAACTGAAAGGCAGTTTGAAAATTACTGTATTTTGTCCAATGTGTCCAAATTAAATTTTAGACATTTCCTTTAAAAATAAATGTAGTTTATTTGAGCAAACATAGTTTAATATATTGCAAAAAAGCATAATGAAATTTCCATAGCAGAGATCTTGACTTTATACTGATTTGTATTGTCATGGCTTCCATGAAAGGATTGGTTGCTGGAACTGAATTTTGTTGCTCCCCCTCCCATTTTTCTGTACAGGACAAACAATTATTAACCCTACATTGGTTCTGGCCTGCTTCTGAGTTGCTTGTGATGAGGGGCAACATTGGATCTCTGCAATATAGGGTTTATTGTAGGAATAGCAGTCATTTATGACCACCCTGCTTGTGCTCCAGAAGAAATCAAGAGTTGTTTTTAAAGGGAAATAAGATATGCATGAAATTCTCCTTTTTTATATACATGGTCTTAACCGGTAGAGCAGCCCAATCTTTTTGGCTCCATGGACTGGTAGTGGTGGCAGTGGAGGGAGATGGTTTCACACAAGTACTTGCCGCTTATGCAAATGAAGCTTTGTGCGCTTGCCTGCCGCTTGTGCGGCTCAGTTCCCAATGCTTCACAAACCACTACAGGTCCATGGACTAGGGATTGGGGACCCCTGCTGTAGAGGGTTTGGCAAACGTTGCCTAGTGCAATAACAATAGCATTTAGACTCATATACCACTTCATAGTGCTTTTACAGCCCCCTCTAAGTGGTTTCAGAGTCAGCATATTGTCCCCAACAATCTGGGTCCTCATTTTACCAATCTCAGAAGGATGGAAGGCTGAGTCAAATCTTGAGCCATTCAGAATCGAACTCCTGGAGTGAGAGGTGAGTGAACCTGCAGCACTGCATTCTAACCACTGTGCCACCACGGTTCTTCTTCAGCTATTAGGCAAGAATAATGTACTTCCCAAAGGCAGCTTCCAACTTCAGTGCAATCTTACATTTGTTTATTTAAAAATGAACAATATGGTTACAGTTATGGGAGAAGGACTCCAGTTTTGCTTCCCTTTTGCTTTCAGTAAAGGCACTGAATTTTCTTCTCTACTTCAGTAGAGACTGAAATACAGAACATGTGAGCACAAGCATGTCACTCCCTCTGTCTGTAGAAACTCTGTGGGCAAGTACACCCAGATTTCACCTTTTTCCATCATGGGGATATAACCGTACAAGGTTTAAAAAATTGTCCTTATTAGCATTGATAACTCTCCTTCCTTAGTAGATTCAGGAAGCTAGGAAACTTTAAACAGTGAAAGCTGAAAAAAACGTCCTTGCAATGGAGAAAATAATACAATGAATTGCACTGCAAAGACTATGAATTGCATACTTTTTGCTGAAATTGAGCAGAGCTACCTGAAAAAGTTGCACGGACATTTTTTATATTTAGGCTGAAAGTACTTTTTACCAATGATTATTAAATCTATTAAAATGCCAATATTTTTCAGGGCTCCAATATACTAAAAGTAAAAAAAAAAAAAAAGGAGCAACCTCTTGGCAACCTATGAATACAGCACAATAGTTCTTACAGAATGTTTATTCTGAATTGATCACTTGCTCATATTGGAACTTGGTCTTCATGCAAAACAACTTAAGCATTTTCCTTTCTAGATTGGTAGCTGAAGGGAAGGGTAGTGCAGATGTGATGGCCATGAATCCTTCAGCCTTGTGCAAGTCCAGACTACTGTCTCTGACAATACTTTGGTCCTCTATGCATTCTTATTCCATAACCAGATAATCTGGAACTCTTTTCTAACAACTGAAATCTGTATTGTTAAATGATTGGTTATCCAATACCTCCTCTTAACATCGTGAGAGATCACTGAACAGTTCCTAAAAGGGTGTCTACAGTAAATATTTTTGTATTTGTTCATTCATTTAGAGAAAGGAGCTTTGTGTAGAGAAGAATGATAGAGGTCCTTCTTTCCACTCCATTCAATGAATCATTTAATTTTTCAATGTAACAATTTCGGGAATTGTTATGGGAAATGTACTTCTGTTAACTCAAATGAACAACCCCCTCTGCATTTAACCAGATGATATTCAGGATCTTTCCATTTCCATGTTGCATTTTGGCACTCTATTGTTCTAAATTAAAATGTACTGGACATATATAAAGCTAATTTGCCTTCCCTGCAGTTTACTAATACCTTGCTGAGACTGTTATATTTGGTTTCAGCTATGATTAATTCAGCATTTTATCTCTATGGTACAAGTTTAGTGATTTACATTTATTGAACTATCTAATAAATATTATTGAAGAACGAAGGCTATTTTGTGCCATATAGTATGGGATTTGCATATATCCATCAGAGATGTATCTCCAGACAACCAAAATCTGTAATTCACAGAACTAATTAAAGACAAAATGTAAAGTTTCTTTTGTCTCTTCATTTATATCCAGGACTTGTTATTGTATCTCTGAAAAATTTGGTATTATAAATTGTTCAATATTTCAAAAATTGTACTCTCCCATATTTAATAACCTTGTGTCTTCCACATTCATGTAATAAATGATTCAGTGCCCTCCAAAAAGTCATCCTTAATGACTGGAAAAGAAATACTATTTATTATTCTAAAAACAATGAACATAAATCATGAAATTCTCTTAAGTTGTTAAACACAAGAAAACCTGAAGAATGAAATTCTACAATAAGGATATACAGGTGTATAAACTTTCTAACAACTAATCAGGAAATAAAATGGAAGGCTTTGTATTTTTAAATGTAAATGAATTAGGTGGTGAGGAGGCCAAGAATTATGCCCATCATGGTTATGAAATAATTTCACTTATTCCTAAATGGAGTTGTAGGAATGTAACAAGAATTAAAAAACTGTACTGGACAGGATTAAAAATTCAAATGCATAGGATTCTATGCCTATAGTAATCTTTTGGACCATTTTCAGGAAAGCAACTACTGTAACTTATTTGGTTTACTGTCCAAATACTGAGGTCCCATTACATCTGCCTAAGAGCAACTGAATGTAAGGAACAACTAAATGTTAAACAAAAAAGGAACCTTCATTAAGCAGGTTTAGCAGTAACAGCTATTCCCACACAGTGCCCTTCTAAAAATGGCCATGCACTATGTTTGAGCAATGCCAGAACAGCAGCTTTGTCCTGATGTAAAACAGATTCCCTGGCCTGATATGGAAACAGCTTCTTCAAAGCATAGTTACCCAGCTGTTTGTTTGGCTAAGCAGACGCATACGCTTTAGTTTTGACAGTTGTTTGTATGGCTGTTGCTCTGCCATATTAAACAGTGAAGTACTGCAAGGCAAACTTAGTTCTATTTCAGAGATGAACCTCTCCCAATTTTCATCAAAATTCATAGAGTGTTTACTTATTAAAAGGTCCCCAGAAAATCCACAGGAGCTAAATATGATCAAAGGGGAATTAATGCTACATCTGTCAAAGGCATATGTGATGCTGTTTAATTTAAAGTAAAAAACCTGTACAAGTAGCTCCCACGAAGTGACCTTAAAAGTCACAAGACCCTTCTTTTATCAGACATTACTCTTCCAGGTAGAAAGCTGATAGCTCTAACAATCACAATACGCCATGCAGCTTTCCCATCTTTCTTCCCTTGACTCTGTTTTGAGAAGAAAGATGGAAGAAACCATGGAAAAATATTGCAAAGGTAGGGACATCTAGGTAACCCACAACGTCTGTATAGAAATCACCTGATCAGAAAATATTTTTGTAATGTTAAGCCTATTAAAATATAAATTTCATGTTTCTGTCCAAAAATGTACAGGTTCTATCTGATGTGTTAAAAATCACTCTGAATAGCTAATATAATGCAGGTTTAATGACACTAGGAATGACACTGAATCTTCAACATCTAAC